GGTTAAAAGAAGAGGAGGGATCGGGAGAATAATAATAAAAGGCAGAGAACAGCAGGAAGAGGAAATCCAAAGCTACTGTAGGTAACAGAACAGGTTTTAACTGCTGAGGGAGGGAAAGATAAAGAAAGAGGAAAAAAGGAGCTTATAGAAAGAAAAGGAAAGAGTTTGGGGAGAATAGGAGGGACTGGGAGGGCAGGGGTCAGCCTTGTAAGTATGTCCGCATGCTGACATTGATTCAGTTAGCATGCCACAGGTGAAACAGATAGGGAGATTCCTGGAAGGGGTCTGAATTACTGCTGATTGGAACAATATCCTTACCCTACATCCCTCTGACTGCCAGTGTGTTTTTGTGTTATTATATTATAGTGTGACTTGTGTTTTTGGTTTTTTTATGGCATGTTGTGTCTGCTTCTTCATAATGGAAATGGATCATGTTACTGAACTGTCTCAGTAGCTGCAGGACACGATGTCTGAAGTGAAACTTCGTAAGAACAAAATTATCAAATGTTCTGACTTGAAACATATCGGCGTTTCGCCCCAGTTCACTCAGTTTTAGAGAAAAGGATCTTAAAATAAAAAGAACTGCAGTTATTAAAAAATAAGGCGATACTTTCATATTGTGTCACTATATTGTGTGTTCAGACACAATATAGTCATCATGTTCAGAACTTGAACATGATGCCAAATGATAATTTTTAACATACGTATTTACAAACAAATGGATATACAATAATATAGTGTACAGAATTCATGTACTTCGCTGGGTGTTTGGCTTATCCCAATGTAAGTAAAATTATATCACAAGATCTCTGCTGCATCATTCCCCTACTTTGCTGCCTTTAATTACAAAAAAATGTCTATCCGCCTCACTTGCAGATGTTTTGAATTCTTTCCGACATTAAACTTAATTCTTTTTTTCCCCCTTCCGCAACTCCGCCCATGTCAGAATCCAGTGAGTTAGTAGAAGAAGACAGAGAAGGCATTTCAATCTCAGATGGTCAATAATGTCTAGCAGCACGCAGTCATTGGAGACGAGGAGGATGCACACTGGCTCTCACACAGAGTGTGTAAACCCTACCTGGGGCAATCTGCCACTAATGTCCTGAAACACTAGTCTACAGAGAGAACAGAAACAGCTATTGTCAACCTGGTCACACACACACGCACACACACACACCATTACACACACAGGCACACAGTCATAATCACATTGATACAAACTAACTCACAAATGCACAGAAAGAAACCCAAGAGGAGTCTACTCATGAATGAGCATGTGACTAAAGTTTGAACTGGGCTGCTGAGGGACCATATTTCGCTGCTGGCTTATTGTGTAATTATGCATTATTGATGGAATATTTAACATGTGAGTAGACATTATGTGCATATGGAAAAGGGATGATAAAAAAAAAATAAAAATCAGAATTTAAGTTGTCAAGGGGTGATGAATCAAAACACTCAAAAGTACACGTCTCTGTGGGTTTGATTTGTGCTGTTTCACACTTGAAAAAACCCACAGGCAAGAGGGGGAGAAACGTCGGTGACGAGTGAGGCAGTGGAGGAGAGACAGGCATACTTACATAGAGATCAGCTGCACCGTAAAAGCCATCCTGATAGGCCATCACACTGAGAGAGAGACAGACAGACAGGGAAGGAAAACGGAAGGGAAAGGTAGAGAGTTCGCAGGAGCAGTGGTGGAAAGTCCAAACAGACAAAACAAAACGAAAAAAAAAAAAATGGTGTGATGCGCCACCGTGTGGCCGTTGCAGAAAACAACAAATGGGAGTGACAATTGAAGGAGGGAGGGAGGTGAGAAAATGGTGCCAAACAGATTGTGAGAGAGAGAAGAAAAAAAAGGGTGAGATTATTACACACCGTGCAACATGCAAGACAAAATACCACCTCTTTGTATACAGCTGCACCAACTTTAAAGTGATACTACTGCTACTTTGAAAGAAAGGAATACTACTTCATTTGATCTTAGTGCACTAAAAGATCATACTACCACTTTTGAGGTACAAGGAAATGGTATTTCAGTTCAGCAAACTATCACTGTCAAAATTTCAATAAAATATATTCAAACACACAGCATGCACTCAAGTACTATTTTTATAACAAGTGAAGTCATGCTTTTAAGAAGTCCTATACATGTCTACTTGTCATTATTAACAGCAGTTTACTGTTGTTTCTTTAAAGTGTGTTTACCCTGGGTAGGTCGGGATGGCAGGTTGTGGGACGGCTGCCCTAACTGCACTGTAGACGGGCCGAGCACGACCCCGGAGATGAGCGCCTCGAAAGGTCGCAGCAGTGGAGGCAGCTGCTGCTGCTGCCGGGTATGGAAACCCCGGTACTGAGAGAAAGATAGAGATACGAGGGCCAGAATGAGGATAGATTATTTCTAATAATAACACTGGAAATGGAGATTTACATATATTGATTCATTTACAGATCATTTCCTCAAGCATTTGGTCTGTAAAAGCCACAAGTCAACAAATGTCTGTGGGAAACAATTCAAATATCCTGTTTTATTACATCCAAAATCCAAAGATATCCAGTGTACAGTTGTATACAATGAGGAAAAAGCAATGCATCCTCACTTTGCTTGAAAAAATACTAGAAACAGTTCTGCATATATTGCCTCCATCAGTCTTATTCAGTTAAATAAAAAGCCAGCTCTTGTTGTCTCACCTGTATAGAGCTCAGGACTGTACATGGCGCCAACCATGGGACTCAACTTCCATCCAGCTACAGTCAACAAAAATTACAACACACATTTAAAGCAATGTTTCACATCAGACTCAACTGACATTTTTTATGACTTCTCTGCTGTTTATTATAGAGAGAGGCTGTATAGAGCTTTTAATGTTCACAGGACATTTACTCAATATATGGATTTTTAAAGACATAATGATCATATCAGGTCAGTTTAATGTCATTCATTGCATTGACATTAGTCTGAGTGTTACATGTATAACTATATACATAAATTTGTCACAATTTGATGCCAAACCAAAATTCGAAAAATACTTTAATATGGCGATAGTGGTTTCAGCCACATCTAGCGGGTCTGACTGTACAATATACATTACCATACGGTAGTGCTGCAAGACCCTCTCCATTAGAGTATGGTGTTGTCATCTTCTTGTTTGTCATCACTCTGGCTGTGGCATTATTAACCTGGACACCAAAGAAAGCGGTCAGAGGGCAATTTCACTCGACTTAATAGATACACAAGTAGTAAGCAATTATCGAAATGTTGCACAATCCAATCACAGAATAGTTTGTGTTTGATTCTGTATTAAGCTAAATGTATTCTGTGACACACAAAGTTGATACTCTTCACATGATGACTGGAGCTTTCATATTGAACTGGTGCTTGAAGTGCCATTACACTTGAAACTGTTTTCTAACTTATGACAGGGGTTAATTCTGTTGATGAGCAGCAATGGTATTTGATGCATGCACTTCTTTTGAAGGAGAAAGACATTGAAAACAAGGATCCTGGTGAGTAGTCAGGCAGTTTTGCACACAAACAATGCAACCATTGGCACACAGAACAAAGAAAACAACAAAATATTTCAGAACAAAGGCATTCAAAAAGAAATCCAAGACCATTATATTGCTACCTTTTAAAAAAAAGGAGGGAAAAAGAAGGTGAATTAAGCGGCAGATTCATCAGTTGAACACAATGCAAAAAACATCAATCGAAGAGTTCATACACAAATTACACACAGCCAATCAGGAGCGCATCACATCACCAGAGGTGAGCAAAACTAGCCAGTCAGCAAGCATCAGATGCAGCAAGAGACCAATCAAAAAAGGTTGGCAGCCCTCCCAATCAAATACACATCATACAGAAAAAGGAGGAAGAGCAGGGAGAGAGAACAACAGAGAAAAGACAGAAATATAGAGGGATGCAGAAGGAGGAGGAGCCAGTCCACATGAAAAGACACAGAAAAACACATACATGATGTGGAGAAAAGAGAGACAAAGAGAGTGAACAATCCATCCAAATGTGCAGTTCTTCTAACGAACAAACAAACAACAAGATGCGATACACACATACAACGTACATCTGACCGTTTGCCTACGCTTGGTCTAACCGTACATGAGCAATGATGGAGAAATGATGAATGGAGCAAGAACAAATACAGAAAGAGAAGAGCCTAGATAAAAGACAGAGAGGATGGGGGATGCAAATATCATTCCTCAAAAAAGAACAAAAGACAAAAAAATAAAAAATAAAAATAATCAAATCAAACCATGGCTGTGAAACACTGCCAGGCATTTCAGATCAGTGTCACACACCAGAAACACCTCGAAGCACACAACCACCAACACACACCATCCAGAACCAAAGTGATCAAAAAGTAAAAACAAGGACACCTCTTTACAGAAATCAGAACAAAGAAAAGCTGTCACTGGTAGAAATGTAGAAGCTTGCTACAAATTACTTCACGACAGCTTTTTTTCTTTCTTAATTGTCTCAGTTTCTAAGTGTACATATTACATACAACATAAAGAGCAGATTTGCTTTAAATTATACAATGCTTGCATCCCCTTTTGGGACACACACTAGTCATCCACATTTATAGCTTTAATTTGAATGTTGAGTCTGCACAGCCGTACCTCTACAACTGTCTGCAATCTACAAATTGATACAGAAAGTGATAATCAAGCACTACAGCACGCCATGATATACAGACAACTATTATCCCTTCTCCAGTAAAGCTAACATAGCACTCATGCTTCAGCATGCTGTCCCACTAAGGTGCAAAAATGCAGCTATTGGCTGACACATGACACAGAGAGATGACATAGTACTATATGACGTCATACACATGACGAGAAAGAGAGTAAACCATGCAGGATACAGCTCTGGAATTAAATGCTGAATGCAGTTAGAGAGGTGATTGGAATGAATGCATAAGAAGTGGTAGTCATAGTTGTTGCACTTGCAGATAGATGCAGTACATTCAGTTATACAAGTGGCCTTTATAATGCCATGCGGTCAATGGCTAATCTCGTAATCGTTTCATTCACCACCTCCCCAATCAATCACAGGATTAGCCAATCAGGTTTTTATCAATCAATCAATCAATCAATCAATCAATCAATCAATCAATCAATCAATCAATCAATCAATCAATCAATCAATCAATCAATTAAGCTCCCTTCAGCAAAAGGAGTCCTTCATTTGGGTGTTGGGTGCATTTTATTTCATTTGGACGGATGGGGTGGGGGAGGGGTCATTCAAAGATGATGCCATGTGTACACAACTTACCGTTGCCAGGGAAACGGCGTGAGGACACGCGAGCAGTTACCGTGGAGACTGACAACAACAACAACATACAAAAATCATCAGGGAAATAGAGAAAATATATGTAAGAAAGAAATGATGAACCAAAAAAGGAAAGAAAAAAAAAAGAAAAGAAAAACATAAACAAACGAGGTAATGAAAAGCAACCCCCACCCTGTGGTAGAGAGGAAGTGATGTAACAGGTCACGTGTCAACAGTCAGCTACAGGTATCAGCCATGTCACAACAATCTAGCCTCTAAAAACCCACTGCTAACACAGATCATAAAGGTTTGTAAAGGAGCAAACAAAATGGAAAGAGAAAATGTCAGAAATTATAAATCTAACTTAGGAGGGAGACTCAATACGATATCATTGCCCAGATTATATTCAAATAACTGACAAAATAATCACTCAAAAAACAAACTTAATCCCATTCTCCACTGTTTAGGCTACCTGACTACATCCCAGGACAGGGTCATGGACAGAGATATGGGGGGAGGGATGGACAGCAGAGATGCAGGTGCATATGGGGACACAAACTGGGAGACAGACAGACAGACAGACAGACAGACAGACAGACTGGCCTGGTGAAAAAGAGTGGAGAGAGATGGAGGAGAACCAATAAAAACAAACAAAAAAAAAAACAAACAAAAAAAGGAAAGGAGAGGGTACGACAGCTATCTATAGCATTCTCTTCACTTGTTCATTCTTTCTCCACCCTCCATCTTTTTAAATTCTGCACACCCACACACAGACACAGAGAAGAAGAGTGCAGGACATTCGAGATCATGCAGAAGAGCTTGAGTAGCACGTAAAAATAAATAAATTAAAGCGTGATTTTAAACTCAAGCGCCAGAGCAAATGGCAAAAGCATGGTGTATTTGATCTCCCAAGGCCATTTGCAACTGAAATCTGAGCTCATGCTGACAAATTTAAAAAAAAAAATAAATAAATAAATATATCACAACAAAATGCACTTCCATGAGATCTGGTGTTCTTTTTCAGGAGAGGTGGATGCAAGTGTGTGCGTGTAAACAATACATTTCTCGTATTTGTACCATCCATCTTGCATGTCTGAAATTAAATTTTTTTGTTTTTGTTTAAGTATCAAAAATGACACCACACTTCTCACAGCAGTCTCATTCCCAAAACTGCCCCCTGAAAATGCCCTCAACATGCATCAGTCTCTTAACACATCAAAACATAAAATCTGCGACCCAGAAGCAGCCGCATAATGTTAAGTGAAAGGAATGGGGAAAATCTCCTTGACAACATCTGACCTTATGCTCCATCCATGCAACATACAGTAGCCTCTCACAGATACCAGCAAGCACTTTTTTTTTCCAAAGGAAAATAACTGAGAGGCTTTTAACTGCCCTTCCAGTCATAAAACACAACCATAAACCAAAATAGCCACTCATCGTGATCATGGAAGAAGTGATGATGGTGATGGAAAAGGTGCAGGAAAAAACAGAAAGAAAACAAAAATGATCCTACATGCTGTAACAGAAGCAGATATCGTCGGCAAATTGTGTCGTTGTGACGTCTCTCCAGCCATGCCTGTTGTGTAGCCACTCCACCCAGCATGCTTTGCAAACCACACAGCTTTAAAAAGATCAAGGTGCAATGGACAGCCCACAACATCAAAAAGAACATCCACGACAGCATGAACATCGACGGGGAAAGTGCTGTCAAAAGAGACGTCTGAGCGTGCGGCACCACTGCACCATGCTATAGTGAAGCTAGAGGGGTTAGAGTTGAACACAGAACAGCCATCCGGAAAAAAATGTCTCTGGGGCAGTAACAGCCAGAATAAACTCATTCTCATTGTCGAACATGGAGGGGAAACAGAGGAGAAAATGGTCACTGTTTTCGAAAAAAAGGGGGCGAGGGTTGTGAGTTACCTCGATTTTACGCCCTTCCACCAGCGTACCGTGAAGCTTCTCTCGGGCTCGCTCTGCATCTGCACTCGACTCAAATGTGACAAAACCGAAGCCCTGCATACAGTGCAGAGGGGGAAGAAGGGGAAAGGAAAAGTCAGAAAATACCAGTTAAGCGAGCCTATTTTTGTTCACAAATTTTCAATGTTTGATGTGATTTTTTATTTATTTATTTTTTCTTACTGTCGTACCTTGGAACCCCTCTCGTTGAAAATGATCTCAACATCGAGGATTTTGCCAAATTGCTGCAACAAAAAAAACAACAACAACAAAAAAAACAGAAGAGGAGGAGAGTGAAGAGGCTGAGCATGTAAAGCCACATGCTGCACGTCGCCACAGGGTGTCAGCACTCTGCAAAGATGATGAGCTGGCACTGAGCCAGCTGGAAGAGTCTGCTCTTCTACAAAATCTTTCTTGCCTCTGCTCTTTTTGCTGCACTGCATTTCGGAGACGTTCCTCTTACAAAACAGCCAGGCACAAGGCCAGAATATTACACCTCACTGTAAATAACAAGATGAAATTCAAAATAATCATTTTGGATTTTTAGTCAAATGGGACAACCGATTCTTTTTAGCCGAGACAGATGCGACAGAGCTGTATTTTTGTTTAAAACATCACATGAGGTTCTTAAGAAATCCACTGACAATGAGAAGAAATCTTGAGGTCAGGCTGCTGACGTCAGCAGATGGGTTATTTTTACTAACTGTCTGCTTTTTAATCTGAAGCTACTATTGTTACGTGATGATGCACAATGAAAATGAGGAATATTTTGCTCCACATACCCCAAACATCTGTCTTAGGTCTGGATCTCGGAAGCGGAAGGGGATGTTGGATACGTGGAGGCGTTTGGGGGTCCCCTTGGCGTCCGAATCGTCCCCGACGCTCCCCCCACCGCCTCCTCCACCCGAGCCAACCCCAGACTGGCCGTCAATCTGGGATGATCCATCTGACTGCTGGGACAGATGGACGCAGAGGACACGAAAGAAACACAGAGGAGGAAACAAAGAGGTCTTGTTATGATTGTGCGAAGACAATATGAAGTCCACCATGAGATGATAGATTCACTGCCATCTGCCAGAGATTTGTATTTCTCGCACCAGGCATGCAGCTCGTCATTTTCATTATGGATTAATTAGCTGTTTATTATCTTGATTAATCGATTAATCAGCGTGTATAGACGATGTCAAGAAACGGTGAAAAATGTCCATGCAATTTACCAGAAATGAAGACAATGTTTTCAGAGCACTCGTTTTGTTTTACCAACAGCAAAGTAAAACATGAAATATAACTCACAAATTGAAAATATTAATTAAAGATATTAAAAACTGAAACTACTACATTTAAGAAGTTTTGTTTTTTTTTATTTTTTTGCTCGAACGAATGACTTAAGTGATTAATGGATTGTCAAAATAGCTTCAAGCTTTCTGCAGATCGACTAATTAGATTCAGACTGCAGATACAAGCCTCCACAATCAACCAAACAAATCCCATTCGCTATCGGAATCAATAACAACATTTCCAAGCAGCAACCTAAACACTAACAATGGCAAGTTTTGACAAAATTTAGATGATACCATAAGGCAGGCTCGGTTTGTTTTTTCGGTGAGTTAACCATTTCGCACTCGTCTTCCTATGTACAAATGTTACACTAAAATAAGTTCACCTCTCACGCTATTTTGCAGGGACATCATCTTTGCATCCTGAGCTTAGTTTTGTCCAAGTTGATCGTGATCAGTTTTATAAAATACAAACAAGCCAGTGTGTTTTTTCCCCTTATAGTAAAATGATAATGATATTGAGGTGATGTCAGACCATTCTGCAGAGCTGACACAGAACTGTGGAGAGAGGTCTGGCTGTGATACACTAGCTCATTGATCAGTGTTTCAGCTTTGTATCTCTGCACTAACTGGTTATATTCCACAACTGTGTGCAATATTGTATAAATAAGTGAGGATGACTGCGCTGACTAACATTGGACTTACAGGACGCAGTAGTAAATGATATTCCAGGTATTTAACTCCTTGAATTTTATCAACAAACTCTAGTGACGACTTTTGGAATTAATTGATGAGCTGTAATTTCATCTAGCAAAAATATGCAGCTCCTCAACTGTGAGTGTTTTTTCTCAGTTTTAAATAATTGTAATTTTAACATTTTTGAGTTGATGGCATGCCAGAGATTTGTCAAAGCCATCATTAGGCATTTGAATCTTAATAATGAGACTGAATTATTCAACATATTTTTTTAAAATTTTGAATAAACAATCAGACATTACAGATACTTAAAGCTTTTATCCATATCCGTCAAACCTATGACTTACCAGAGATGTACTAATATTGTGGTTTTGTTATCAGCACAGACATTGAACTTATTAAAGAAATAGATTTGGGAAATGAACAATTGACCTTTTTTTTTTTTTTTTGCTTTTCAAAAGGCTTGATGAATATAAACGTATTAGTTTAAAAATAAAAACCAAGTTGTGGGTTTGCAGGGACTTGCATACTGGACTATTTCTAGTCCAGACACTATAACTTGCTGGATTTCAAACTATACCTTTAAGCTGGGTATCAAAAAGTTATTTTTTGATTTTTCCTATTTTCTTTTAGCTAAATGAGATTGAGTACTGGACCTCAATTTTCCAGGTGACCTGTTGGAGCAGGTTTGATAATTTGAGCCTGAATATGCAGCTGCAGCCTGCAGATGGACAAAAGACCGTAATGAGCTCTACACAGAGGTTTGCGGATTGTAAATTTGGGAAGAAAAGGAAAGTTGCATCAAACCTGTAATTGGTCAGTAGCCTAATATTTGTTATCAGAGTCAGTATTGTGCACCCCTGCTATTATATTTTTACATATCCCTAAACACGTTTGCTCTTTGCGCCCTCTCAAGGTGAAGGCCCGATGCTGTTCGGCACTCACTTGGGCACTGAGGCTGTTGGCGGCGTTGGCTGCGCTGTTCGCTGCTCCGCCGGCTTCCACGGGGCCCTGGACGGCCCCTGCTGCGTACAGGCTGCCCCCGTAATCCAGGGCCAGGCCGTTCTGGGGGGGCGGTGGTGGAGGAGGTGGGAACGCGGAGAAAGGTGGGGGTACGAGTCCCTCCTGACCGCCAGCACTATCCTGAGAGCCCTGTCAGAAGAAGGTGAGAGAGAGAAGAGGAGGGTGAGGAGGGTGAGGAGGGAGCGAAGACTAAAGTAGCCAGCTGGCGAAATTCCACAGTATCTTTTACAGAGAGCATCACCCAACCACACAATGACAACTTTCCCAAGAGCTTCAGTGTAAAAGTCATACAGGCATAGATATTATGTTTCCATTTCCCCACGAATGTGTGCGTAAAAGCGTGCATGTATCTACACCCCCCACCCATTAAATATTCACTGCAGGCACATCTATTATTGAGGGTCAGATGCCTCCATGCTCAGTGTGTTGTACAATGATGAGTGTCTAATGCCTTCACACACACTCACAAACGCCTCTGCACACAAACCACCTTTGACATGCAAACACCCACACACCTAAATGCTCACACAAAGACCAACTGTTAGTGAGGAAGCCTGCTCAAGTATTTTGTTATTGCCCCCCAGAAGATACTTGTTTAATTTGCCGACACTAGTAGGAGAACAATGCAGGTGTCCAATATGGTGGAGGCGCACAAACATACATAATACACACTATAACACGACACACACAAATACACACACATTCCTTGCTGCTGGCAGTGGGGCATGGATACCCTAAATGGTAATAGCTGGAGAGCGAAGGGAGGCTGCAGGGATGGGAGAGAGAAGGGGGGGGCGGGATGGACAATAAAAGGTGATGACTGATAGGAAAGGCATGGTCTGTCTCCAACCCATAGCTGCAAAAGATAAACCCAACATCACTGTCTTTCAGATCTATTTATAACTCTAATATCTGCACCGGGTGGTAAATAAATTACAGAGTAACACAAAAACAAGCAGAAAATTCAACCAAAATCTGTAGGCTGCATTCACTGAGGACCATGAACGCATGAAATTTGTTGAAATATCTCAGTCTGGATCAACTTGATGGAACAAATGACCGTCAGTGTCAACCCATTATTATTCATGTTAGTTGCCTGGCTAAAAAAACCCCCCAAAATATCAGCCTTTGTCAGTAAAACTATGACACATTTTCTGAACCCCATTATTATCCGTGTTTTTTTTTTCAGAATCCTCTAACCTTTATCAAGACAGAAAGGCAGCAGTATTTCACAGGAATAACTTAAGAACCAAAAGACTGAATCATATGAATCAATATAAAGCATCAAACACAACCAAAACAGAAATTTACATCGTAAAAGATTTAAAAAAAAAAAAAAAAAAAGATCTTTATAAATACAAACTTGCAGCCAATGTTTAACCTTTAGTTGAGCATATTCTTTTTTCTCTGTCTGATTAATGTCTTTGTTCTTCTCCTATGACTAATCATTATTATCATTATCGTATTCACTATCATTATTAGTAGTAGTCGTATTAATAGTAGTAATGTGGTTGCTCTAGAAGCAGACAGTAATGATAATAATTCATTTGTAAAAGTAATATTTGGTGTCTTTTTTTTTTTTTTTCCCACCACCAAAATTATATCACATCTAAAAAGACTCCACCAAGCTTACAAGACATCTGCTTGGCTACATTCACTTCAAGTGTGTATGTGTTGGTGTGTGTTTGTGTGTGTGAGTGACAGGCTGCAGCGATGCCCATCTGAGTTGCACAATAGATCACTGTCCCTTTGGGAGTGTTAAAAGTGTGTGGGAGGGTGTGTATTTATGTGCATGTGTATGTGTGTGTTTGTGTGTGTGTGTGTGTGTGTGTGTATGTGTATGTGTGCGTGCCATCTGTCTCCCAGCTTTTTGACCTTTCTCGGCGTCACACCTGTGACACTGTACTCCGGCCCCTCGACTCAGTAACAAACCAGGGGGACGCACACAGTCGACTCGGATCACATCGATACTGTGACATGAGAGCGGCTTCGGCAGTGCTGCAGCCAGAGAAGAGTGGGAGGGAACTTAGTCTTGTAATTAACGGAGATAAACCAAAGTAAATACAGCATTTAACGGAGAGGTCAGGCGTATTTGTTAAAAAATGTACAACAAAATGTAAATCAAGCAGCATCTTTATGTCCTGAATTTGAACTTCTTTCTTTAAATCAATTTTGTCAGGTGGAATAATTTACCTACTCGCTTTAAAACCTTCGCTACCTTTCATAATAAAATGTTGGAAGAGTGCATTAATATGTCAAAGCTGCTAAACTGCTATGTGTAAAATGAAAACAAGATGCCACCTCTTGCTGCTGCTGTGCCAGTCATATCTAATATATTTTTTTACTAAAACTACGAGCTTCCTCTGTGCCTGTCCAAACAAAATATATTGCCTATTTAAATAATAACCTGCATGTACGTACATATATATATATATATATATAATGTAGTGCAGCATATCATATACAGTATGAAATATTTCTTGTGCCAGGAACAGATATGATAAATAAATCTCCCATGAGTAAATTAAAATTTAAATTGATGGATGCCAAGCCATCATGATTTTAAGAAATTAAAGTGGTTTTATATAAAAGGGTAAGTATAATCTCTTATTTTGAAATGAATGGCTCTCAGTAGCTCAGCACCATCTGCATTTCTTTGTCTAATAAACTACAAGATCATTCCCTTTACTGCTTTACCTTGTAGCTGTTCCTCTTTTTCCTGCTGATGTGAGACAAAAGGAGACCGTGCCAGACGCTTTAAGAGAAATGCTTTGAACTCAACCTTTAATGACTGCAGCACTGGTCTGCCTCCTGTGATTTCAGCAGCGTAATCACAACCAGAAATCCTGTTATCTCCCTCTGTCTCGCTACCCGATAACAGGTAATAAATGCATGTTTATCATTAATCTCAACACTTTTAGTCTGGTACCAAACTGTGCTGCCACACTATTCACTGCACACATTCTCCTGTCATACAAAAAAAACATAAAAAATGCCTGAACTGTCCTTGCTCCTCGGCTGCCAGGTGAAGAGTCTCCACCTCAACCAGAACAGAAACCATTTTCTCCATCTTCAGCACTTGGCACTCAAGCAATACAGCCGCAAGATTACTGACCATAGCGTCCAAGTTTAACTTCATTCACATTTTCAGATAGCAGCTGTGTCCGCTCATCTAAACCCTGCAGCTGTATGAACCTCTTCCAATCTTGTCCACAAGCATCCAAATTAAGATTTTGCTAAGTGATAACATCCCTCACATCCCGGCCTTTCTGTCCGGTCTCCATTTCATGTAGCAGCACAACCACCTTGTACCTTTTCAATGGATGCTCGGTATTTGTTGCAGAGATTTTTTGCAGACATTTACAGTCATTTCACACCAACGTATATGTATAATCGTCATTCCAGTTTGAGTTTCCAGCATAAAGCAAAACAGATTTCAAGGTGTTTTTCTGCTGCGTGTCACAAAACCTCCTTTTAAAATTTGTTTTCTTTTAATAGTTTACACTTTTATTAAAGACTGCTTAAAAATAGACCTGAAAATTGGTAATTTGTGAAGAATTTTCTCCTTGTCGTGAAAAAAAAAAAATCTACTCTGTTACATCACTGATGGTAATAATGTGAACAGGAGCTGCAATCCTCTGATGAGGCATCCTGAATTCATTATATTTGCTCAATTCAGAGAGACAGAAAAAGGGAGAACAGAAACATGGAAATTAGCCAGTTTAGATCAGGCATTTAACTGCAGGAGAGGAAAAAAAACACATAATATGCGAAATGACACACTGGATGACCTCACCTTGCATCAGCCCATCCTAGATTAAATGCATTTGTGGAGGTGAAAATGATAGTGGGTGGAGCGAATCATTCTGGGTCACCAGGTAGGCGCTAACCTAGCTGACAAACAGAAATAAAGAAACTAGACCCGCTCCTGTGTCTTGGTAGAAAGAGAAAGTTGATCACCCAGCTTGGGTGAAGTGGTGAAATGGGAAAAGTAGAAAGGAGACGATAGACTGCCAACGTTTTGTTGCAATGAGGGAACCTTTTGTGTATGCGTGTACACTTAGCACTAACATTACAGGAAAAACTATATTATTATACTTTTATATACTTATATACTTTTTATTATACTTTTTTATGGAGGGCGTGATGGTGGTGTTGTGTCTGTGGGTTTGACCAATGCTGAAATATCTCACCAAATGTACAATGTGTTTTTTGAGCTGTAAACTAAATAACATGACTGTCCTGTGGTGGTGTGTTTACTGTACACGAGAAAGTGCTTCAACAAGCCATACTGATATAAATGAAAATTCAGGTCCTTGCTTGACCAATACTGACCAGCTGACTGAGTCAACTGTTTAAAACTTATTTACATCATGAAATTCAATTAAAAAAAAAAAAAAAAAGAATATTAACACAGTCTTATCAGAGGTGAGCGTCCCTACTCACACAACCGAAACAGTCTCTCATGTTCAAACATATGCTGAATGAGACTCATCATTCACTATTTTCCTCTACCCCTCTACCTGGTGTTTTTCAGTTTAGGTGCAACGGCTCAGACTTTTGCTTTTCACGGCTGTAGAAGCACCACCGGAGTGTGTTCTCTTCTCAGATCCTCATATGGCTCGGTAATAGCTGCAGATGGCAGGACGGTCCCTCGATAGCAACACCACTGCTATGTAGGAGAGTTCCGGCTTCAGGCATTACTGGGGCTCGAGCCAACACCTCGAATTGATATGGCTCGGGATCATCACAGTCCTCCACCACACTAATGTCTGCTTCAGGGGATTCTGGAGGGGAAAATTCCTCCACCTCAAAAGAACCATTTGTGGCATAGGTGCCTTGTGACTGTGTACTGCCTTTTTCTCTGGCCTGGGGATGTCACTGAGCAACTCACGCACTGTGAAGTTACACTTCAAATGTACAGCCATGAAGTTTGGTACAACCAATCATCTTTTCAGGAACATTAAGGGAAGTTAAGGCAATCACTTGACATTTCATCCAGTGCCATCATCACAAACAAATGTTACCCTGTCGAGTAATTTGGTTTATACAATTCCAAACCTAACAAGATTCACATCAGCTGTATTTTGTGCATCAGTAAATGCTAGAATTTTAACAGGCTAAACTAA